TCTGCTCCATGAACCTTTTTACCACTTGAAAATCAATCAAAACTGAATAATCATTTTTATCAGCGGATGAAACTTGGGAGGTTGTATATTTCAGGCGCCCCCTTTTGAAGTTTGTAAAAAAGTCTTATACGAAACGAATATAGTTGAAAACCTAACCAAACCTTAACTATGATCCTTGCGGTTAGGCTCAGGGTTTGGCTTTTGGTTTAATTAGGGTATGGCTTTCAATAAATTAAACTTTATTGCTGGGTTCAGGGTAAGAGTATAGATTTCAATAAATGTTATCCGTAAATGTGACTTGTTTTTTACGGACAGTTGAGATATAGATAAAATAACTTCTTATGCACTACTCTTTTCTTGTTAATTTTACATCAGATTTTTTTTAACAACTCTTTTCAACTTATATTTAAAATAGAAAGGTAAAATCAGTAAGGCTGAGGAGACTTCCTGGATAATTGTTTATTTGAGCTTTTAAATGCATAAAATGCATTTTATGCTATGCAAAATATGAAGTTATAGTAAGAATCAAATTACCATCTAAGACCGTGTTTCGGGTTACACCGCCTTCGCCATAACCCCACTCTCCCTTATATGAAATTTTAACGCGTAAACTTTTTAGCGGTTTTCGATGAAAGAACCTTCTTTAGCAAGGTCGTGTAAATTTTTATTATATTTTTGTATTCACTATTTTATAGCGGATTGCTTTTTTAAAATATAATAGAAAAAAAATGTAATAGAAAAAAAAAATGTTTAAATTATTAATCTCAGCTCGAGCTGAGATAATAGTTTAAACATTTTTTTGAGCGCTCATGTGATTTAGTTCGCAACTTTACATTTTTTGAAATTGATATAATATTTTTTTCTATGTACATATTTTATGAACAAATTTCTTAAAAGAATAGAAATAGTAAAAATCATATTAACTCAAATCTTTTTAAAATAATTCAATAAATTTATATAGTGAAAAATTCATGTGTCATTTATCAATTTAAATCAAACTAATATAATCGAATTTTTGTAACACACATTTTTGTAACAAACATTTGCTTCTCCTAAAAAAAAAAAAAATTATTTAGTAGACGCAAATTCGATACAAAATACAAAATTATTTCAACTTTAACCTCCAGAGGAAGTAAAGATGAAAAACTAAACTAAAAAACAAAAAGCGAGGATTAGTTTACAAAATTAGATTTTTTCATTTCAATTAGTCTTCTATATTGATAAAATTTTCAAGAACATACGAATGAAGAACTTTGTTCAAGTACATCAAATTAAATTAAAACTTATTGAATAACAAGTCACTTTTTTTGATTATATAGGAAACATCTATAAATACTATTTAATAATAAACATTATGTGACAAAAGGTATGACAAGAAAGTTAAAGTAAAAAAACATTAAATTTATAATCTTTTAAGATGTTAATAAGTTTTTTAAGAAGACATTGTTTTTAAGAAGACATTGTTTTTAAGAAGACATTGTTTTTAAAAAGAAATTGGTTTTAAAAAAACATTGTTTTTAAGAAGACATTATTTTAAGAAGACATTGTTTTTAAGAAGACAGAGGAAGATAAATTAACATCGATTTATCAAGTTTACGTTTTGTTGTAACCCAAAAAAGTTTGCATATTAAGCTTATTCAAAATCAAAAGTTTAACAGAAATGAATAAAAAAGAAAGTTTTTACATGAACTGATACAGTGTTGTAATTGATTATTCGTATAGCGTTGCACCATATAGTAATTATCATGCTCTGAAATATGGTTTCACATGTACTGCATATAATGTTATCAAAAGGTTTTCTGCGATAAGCTTATAATTGTTTACTTACCTTATGGTCCAAAGTTTTATTAGTTTTATAAAAAAAAATTAGTCTTTGAAAACAGTTCTTCTTCTTAAACAATTTTTTTTTATTTTTTTTTTTAATTTAACAGCTATATTTATCATTTCTGTTTTAGATGGTATACAAAATAAGTTTTTGTACATACCACATTTTAAAGACTCTGGATTATCTTAATAAACCAGCAAGATCACTTTGCCTTCTTTGACATATCCTTTCAACTGTTAATAATTAATAGAGCGTTCTTCTTTGACATATCCTTTCAACTGTTAATAATTAATTTGAGCGTTCTTAAAATTATTTACTAAATAGCAATCATGAGCATCAAGTTCTGTAACAATAAATTTTAATGTGTCACCAGCTGTTATTAATGTTGCTACCCTTCTACAAATGATTTCAGAACCTAAAACAATTAGCTCAAGACTTTTTGCTAATCTTTTAACTACTTCCAGCTCTTCAAAATTGTCGATTTTTTATTAAAATCAATGGGTACCAAAAAAAAATCTCGGTACCCCGCAATTAATTTCCCAGGATTTTGGAATTTTGATTAACTATTTTTCCCGGCAATAATCCCTACTCAAGTGTAGAGTTATTTACTCGATTTTGTTTCAGGACTATTTTATTTTTATTTTAGACTTTTTCTTACCAGTATGGTTGAATTGATAACTGTAAAAGCTGAAATGGTTGTAAGCCAAAAGACTTACTGCACGTATAAATGAATTACCCTCATGACTAAAAGTCCAGATACGGTTCCTAGTAATGAGTCGTTTTAATAACTTTTTAAAAAACGTTAAAAAAGTTTTATTATAAAAAAACTTCAGTTGAAATATATTGCAACTGAAGTTTTTTTTTATAATAAAATTTTATTTTACATTGACGATCTATATAGGTCGTCATTGTTTTTTTGATTAATTTTACTTTCACTTTCCGCGGATTCATTTTCCACGGATTCATTTTCCGCGGATTTTAAAACTGATTTTAAAAAGATTTAATAAATGTTTTTAGGAATAAAATCATTAAAAGATAAACAGAAATTTAATTTAAAAAAATATAATTTTGAAAATGTGCAAAAGTTCGTGCCATATGTTAAGAGAAAAATTATGCATTTTCCAGTGGCATAGAAAAATATTAAATATTATTATTATTTATTATTTATGTTTAGGCTTATTTTTATAAAAATTTATTTATACCTTGTGAAAAAAGATATTGAAAAGTAACAAAGTTCTCTTTTAGTATTTAGTACCAAAATGCAGGATAAACTATGTACAATTTTTCTTAAAATTTTTCTAAAATTAAAGACATGTCTACTATTCTCATTCAAAACAAATTAAATTTTTATGAGATGATCAGCAACTCAATTTTTTTTTCAACTATAATAAGCCTATGTTAACCCAAATATTTGATATTACTAAAGATGTTTGAAAAACAATCAACTATAAACTAATCAAGCTTCTTCCAATATGATTGAGATTAAAAAATACTAAACGTCGTAATGATGGAAACGATATAGCTGCAGTTTTAAAGCAGTAATTTGATCATTGAAATACCAAAGAACAAAGAAAGATAATTAATCATTTGATAAATGAGAGAAGAAAAAAAGAATTTAGATCAGATTATATAGACAATTTGTTTTATACACTATCTGTTTTATATCTTTGTTTTATTTTGATTGTTTTTTGCATGCAATATATTAGTGGACAATAAAAAGTTTAAAATAACATTAAACACAAATTAAAAATAGAGTAACGCTAAAAATAAAAATATAAGTTATAGATGATATTTAGATTGTAACAAATATTAAATTTATTTAAAGTTATTTAAAAAAAAAACTTTTTTCTTGTTTTATCAAATTTCACTAAAGATATGATACAGTGAACTCCCGATATCTCGAACCCCGGATAACTCGAACTTCCAGTAACTTGAAGTACTTTCGAGTTACAAGTTCCCCTTGAACCCTCACTAATACTTTCTCATAAAAATCACTCGATAACTCGAACTCCCGTTAGCCATTTTATCTGTTCCCGTGGTTAATATTCTTCCGATACCTCGATTACCTCGACTACCTCGAACTTTAGAAGAAATATTAAAACAAAATCTTAGTAAAATTTTTCTTTTTTTCTCTCAAGCACAGCCAAGTTTCCATCAAAATTTGAAGAAATTTATTTAAACCGCGAAACGTGTGTTGGAGTATTATAATAAAAGTTGTGTACTGTGTACTAAGTTGTTTACATTTTACAATGACTACTTTCGCTGCAAAGAGAAAAATTAACACAAAATCAATTAAAAAAAAAGATTGGTGATTTAATAAAAGTTAGAGAACAATGGTCAAAACCTCATTTTCAACCAATTTTATTTTCAACCGATTATAGGTACTAGTTTGTGTTTTTACCATGCCCCCCTTCCATCCCCACCCCCACTTTGTATTAAGGACTCGAGAGTAATATATAAAAAAAGAGGTCAGATAAGCGACATTGGTACGGAAGAGGCGTAAACATCCTTGTTAAATGCCCTTCCGTGATGCTCTACGATAAGACCTTTAGGTCTCTTTGGAGAATAAAATGCCGCTATTTACATCAAATGTTAAAAAAAAAAAATTCTCTTTTTTCTAATTATTAAGGTATTCCAACAAGCCTAATGGTTTTATCGTAGTGTTGCGCGGAGGAGCATTCAAGGAGAAATTTCACGCCACCTTAAAAATCAACACCAGGCATCAAACTTTGGACCTCTCAATTTAATCAGCCGTGGCACTCCAGTCACTACGCCACGGCTGATTAAATTCAGCTCTGGTTCAAATCAACAACAAATAAATAAAATACATACCGGAAAAGACGTAGTTATAAAGTCGATCAAAAAAACAGTAGGTCGAAAATACTGTAGGTTGAAAATGCAGTAGGTTGAAATTTTAGTAGGTTGAGAATTCAGTACGTTGAAAATGCAGTAGTTCATGTTTTAATAAGTAGTAAGTATGAAAAATCGAAAGTTATATGTTGAAAATTAAAATTTTCATATTCTATGATTTTAGAAATTTCAAAATTAGGTCCAGTTATAGGCCACCTTTCGTAACTTACTATCTTATTACTTCTTGTTGTATTATTTATTAAATTAATACAATAGATCTTAAAAAATAATAAATTAATTATATTTCATATGTTTATTGTTTTAGGATGGTAGCGGAAATATACTTTTCAATGAAGACCACAAAGCTTTAACTCGCAGTCCCTCTAACAGATCTATACAATCTATACCTGGAAATGAAAGTATGTTTGTAATAAATTTTGAAATAGTTTGAGTTAATAATATGTTTACTCCTAACATATTATTAACTCAAACTATTTCAAAATTACTAACATGTTTTGGATTTTAGCTTAATTTTGAAAATATTATTGCGGGAGAATTAAATTCACAATTTCCCGTTAAAACGGGAAATAAAAAGAGAACAACCCCAGCAAACATTGTTTTAGTGGATTTGCAGTGGACCTATATAGGCATTTTTTAGCGGTTTGTTGGAGTTTTGTTCATCGGTTACTTAGTGGACCATTAATGGCAGTCATTATAAATGGCAAGCTGATAATATTCCGTCATTTTAACAGTGGCTATTTATTTTAAAAGTGGCTATTCATCGGCTAGTCACATTTGGCGGCTACCACTATGGGTCCACTAAATAACCGGTGAGCAAAACTACAGCGGTTCGTTCAAAATGTCTATATTGGTCCTCTGAAAACCCGCTATTGTATGTTTGCTGGGACAAAACTATATTTAAATTTTATCTTAGCTAATAAATTAATTTGCGACATTAAAATTAAGCAAAACATTTTTTAAGAAATAGAAAGCTATGAGTTGTGTTTGCCAAAAATGTATTTTCTTGCGCTGAAATCATCTTTCGTGTGTCACAAGGGCCAGTAATTAGACCACTTTGTTCTTGTTATTTATATGCGATCAGAGGCAATTACAGGAATGAAATGAGGGGGAGGGACGAATCCTTAAAAAGTACAGACTGCTTTCTAAAATTAAAAAAAAAAGGTCCTCAAAACTAAAATTAACCTGCCTCAAATCCACCCGACTCAAATCAAACTTACCCACCTCAATTGGCCTTAATGGTGTAAAGGATATAGAAGAAACGTAATAGCAAGTGGCAACAGTGACAGATTCAGGAGGAGGGGGGTATGAGAGTATACATTCTCTCCTCCCCCTCCCCCTTACCAAATTTTCGCGTCACGGTAAGGAAGGAGGCGTGAACTTCCTGGTTAAATGCACTTCCGCGGTGCTCTGTGACAAGACCGTTAAGTCTTCTTGGGGCACCTAAAAAAAAATCTTAAAGTCCTAAAATATCTTAGAAATAAAGAATTTTTTTTTTTTAGGAGACGTAAATGTAGTACAATATCCCTAAATATTTCAAAGCCCCCCCCCCCTTCCCTCATCCTCCACCAAAAGTTTCTGGATTCGTCACTGAGCCACTCAGTGACGAATCCAGAAAATAAAATCCATAAAACTGACTTCAACAAATTGAAGAAGTTGTTATTTTGAAATATTGCCGCCAAGTGTGTTTACATAGATGAGAGTAAATTATAAAGTAAATTTGATTTTTGATTTTTTATTATGTAAACTCAAACAAAGGTAAAATTATTTCTCAGATAATTTTTGTCTTTAGTATTATACACAATTGTAAAACTTTGATAACTTGAAAATTTAAATTGAAAAGAATGACCATATGAATAATTATTGACGGTAGTGTCTTTTACAAATGTTTAACAGTATTGTTATTAAAATAATTTGGAGGACTTTATTAAATGGTTTTGGTTGCTATGTAGATATTAACAGTTAATCTCAATAAATAATCTTAAATATAATTACAATAGCAAATAGGATTAGAAATAAAACAGAAAGCTGAAAGGTTTAAACGTTGATTTTTGTAAAAAAAATCTGTACGCAGGCAAGGTGACAATAACGATAGAAACATCTTTGAGAAGATATAAACAAGATCATTTAGCTTTATTAATGAGGATGTGTGACTACAGAAATTATGCGAAATAAAAAGAAAATTACTAGCAATACTACTTTGGAATATTAAATTTATTCAATAGCAACACATTCTCACTCAGTTTATGTACACGCAAATAAATACTGCAATTAATATTAGCGCTATAAAAAAAAATTCAGTAAACCATTTACTACATTGCTCCGATCCAGAATTGCCGGGTGATATTACATGCAATTATTGAAATAGTAAATTAAATAACTAATGGTTTTGCAAATAATAAGTTTACTTTAGGAGTGTTTCTTGATTTATCAAAAGCATCTGATACAGTGGATCATTGCATTCTCTTAGATAAAATAAGACATTACGGAATATTTAATAAAACCTATTATTGGATTAAAAATTTTCTTACCAACAGAAAACAATATGTACATAATGTTCATTCTGGAGTATTAAATGTTTTATGTGGAGCCCCGCAGGGATCAATTTTTGGTCCGCTCCTTTTTCTTATATATATAAATGACTTCTGTAATGCATCCTTAAAACTGAATTCAGTCATGTTTGCAGATGACACGAATCAATTTCTTACCAACAATGATATCAAAACATTATATGCTGACATGAATATAGAACTAGTTAAAGTAAACAACTGGTTTAAAGCTAACAAACTCTCGATTAATGCTGAGAAAACAAATTATATACTATTCCATAAAAAATACAAGAGGAAAATCTTCCTCTCGAGTTGCCTATCCAATATAAAATCCAATATAAAATTCTTAGGAATCATTGTTTATAAAAAATTATCCTGGCTTCCTCATATAATAAACATCCAGTCAAAAATCACCAAAATCATAGGTTTGATGTATCGATTTCGCTTTTACGCCAAAACACAAAGTCTGAAATTAATCTTCTCTGAACCAGGGTTGTGGAGTCGTAAAAAAAGAGTAGCAACTCCGACTCCAATTCCAGTTGTTGAAATTTTTTGAGTACAACTCCGGAGTTTTCAAAAATTTGGCTCCAAATCCAAAGCAAAATTTTTGAAAACTCCTTTGAATTTAAAAAAAATATATTACGCGATAAGTTAAAAATTTCTTTTTTGACAAATTTATGAAACGTTTTTTAAGGTTTAGTATGAACATAAGGTTAATTGAATGTTTTATACATGCACGTGTAATACCGGGAAATTTTACTATTGGAGTCGGAGTTGCGATTTTGTTTAGCAACTCCGACTAAGACTCCGCTAAAAATGTCGTAACTCCGTAACTCCGACTCCGATTCCACAGCCCTGCTTTGAACTAATACATAGCTTCATAGGATTCAAAGGTACGGTAAATTCGTTAAGTTTATTCAAGTTTATAAGAAAAGAAGAAATTTTTTGAGCAACGTTTTTGGTTAATGCTACCACTCTACTTTTTTGTTGTTGTTGTTGTTGCTGTTGTTGTTTAACAATCTTATTAGCAAATTACGCATTTTATTATGATATTTATTTCGATATTTAATTGAAATTTAATTACGTATATATTTTACAAAATTTTATTACGTATTACGTATTACGATATTTTATTGAGATTTTGCTAAGGGTCTCTATAAAAAGATTGCGATGACATACTGTCATCCTCATCTTCTTGAACTTGATGTTCAAATGAACTTGAATAAGTGTCCCTATATGCCTTACTCTACCGTACTAGAGCAGATCATCTATGCAATACACCCAAAGGATAAGCTCATTGCTACAAATGTTCCAACGACAAAAAAAATTATTTAGAACAAAGCCAATTGCAATTCTTTATCACTTCGATCTAAACATAGGTTTGCTTGCAATGTAACAATAAAGACTATAAATAAGGCGGTAACCGACCACAAAGAGAAGCTTGTCAAAGATTCTAAATCTTACTCAAAGGTTCTGCACGTATACGTCAATAGTAAGCAAAATATTAAGGCTCTTCTTCGTTCAATTGAAGCTGGTAATGCCATCATTACAATGGATATAAACAAGGGATAAAAAGCAAACTGCTTCACCCTCAATAACTTTATTCAGTTTGTTATTTTATGAACCTGAGGGAGTATGAAAAAATATGAAAGCAGTATGAAGATTGTACTCAAACAACATGCGCAATATACAAAAACTGATTCATAATTCAAAAGGTTCAGAATCACCTAAGCAGTCTTATAGAAATTAAGTTAACTGTAACAGAATTTACTCACGTGTATTACGTTACTGCGCAGCAGCATTTGCAACACCACTCAACTTTATTTCCAGACAATCCTTATTGTCGAGCACTGTACCTGAACAGTGCAAAAGGTTGAACCTCAATCTCAACTTTAAGAAAGGTAGAGAGCTGAAGACTTCTAACTATCTACCAATCTCTCTAACTTCAATACCGTGAAAGGGATTGGAAAGAATAATTCACAAATATGTTATGATGGATTGCTTAATGCTCTAGTTTCCAAACATCAGCATAGTCTTATCCGTAAAAAGGGATGTCTGAATAACCAGATTGAAGCTTGTGGTATGCTTACCAAAACTATGCACTGAGGCTACAATATTAATGTTACCTACACAGATTTCGATAAGACAATCGGCAAGTTCCTAAACAAACGTCTTCTGCACAAATTGAAATCACGCGACATTTGCAACATGCTGCTTTTTTTGATTGAAACATAAACCAAAGGCATGTTGTGAAGTTTTTTCTGCCTGGAATAAAGTTACGACTGGAGTTTCTTAAAAAAACTGTTCAAAAGTAACTACTTTTATCTTGTTTATGTATAATTTTCCTGATAGTATTGCTCGCAAGATAATGCTATACTCTGATGATTGCAAAATCATTGGCATCATAAAGTCTGCATTGGACATTGCAACGTTTTATGGACGATAGATAGATATTTGATAGACATTGACTACGTGGAAATATGATCAAACATATGGCTCAAGCACGTTAATATGTAAAGCAATGCATGTAGTTTTTCAAAAGAAATCTTTAACACATGAGGGAACAAAATCACTGATAGTATGTGTTACACACTTGCAACTATAACTATCGAATGTAATCTCAGCGTTCTTGTCTCGAATGACCTGAGAGTCAGAGAGCAAATTGAAAAAGCAGCATCCATAGCCAATTACTTGTTAAAGAAGGATCAAAAGTGCTTTTTGCAGCAGAAGCTTAACTTTGTGGCGACCATGTTGGATGTTGGACGCCGCGTCACCGAGACAATACCATCATTCTACCCTTAAAAAACATTATTTACAAGGAGACATAATTCAGCTATTCAAGATACTTAATA